CGGCGAAAACAACATGCCGCCAAAAAGAAACTCACCACATCCCGAGACTGATCGGATCAGATTGGTGTGTGGACGGATGAAAGTTCGTCGGTCTTCACCGCACCCACGTCCAGTGAAGCGTGATGATTAAAACGCACGCGGCAATTTAAGGTGATGCCGATGTAGTATGTTCCGAGAATACGAGGGCTGTTTTGGTACTGACGCTTCAAGGGGCTGCAGAATTTCAGTGACACTTGATGAGAAATACAGCAGTGGCTGATCTGGTGCGAAATTGTGAACCCACTCGTCGCAACACGCTTTCGTATAATCGAGAACACGATATATGATGCGGTTTGTGGCCAGTGTTAGGATGATAGTAATATACCGCTAGATCATCGGTATATAAAGAATACCGTGGGTGCTGCCGAGCGACGCACATGAACGAGTGTGTATAGGTGGCAGGACTGTCCACGGGCTTTCAGTATGCACGGTAGGCGGCGCCACTGCGGTGTTGGTGGCGCCACCGTCGAAGTGCCAGAAGCTAGTCCCCCAAGTGCGCTGCCGGAAGCTATGTCACTGGCTGCGCGCGCCTGTGCTAGGAAATTGCCCGGAAGAATTGCTCAGCAGCACTAAGCAGACCTCAATCATCACCGTGCCGGAGAGCTCCCTGGTGACGTTCAAGAACGGACCGCCTCCCATTTCCTAAAGGGCGTGCTGGCCCGTCTGCTTCTAGACGGGTTCTGTGTTATCGATTCATTCGGTGACGTCCCAGCCCAACGTCGGTTCCTCGCCAACAGCGCACGGCGTGCGCCGAAGGACGGCGCTGTCATTCGATCGTCTCACCTGCACTGCCCCCACCGGCGTCGGCCGGATCGACTCTCAGGCGATGTACTCGTTGGCCACAACATGTCAACGCTTGACCGGACGGCGATGTCTGTCCCCCTGCATAGGCGGAGGAAGGCAGGAAAAAGGTAGACCTGCTGGAGATCACCGCTGCCTGCAGCTGATCATGCGCATAGTCCACGGCGGCGGCGACGGGGAGGGATGAAGTCGTTGCAACACTCCGACAGAAACCGATCAGTGTTTGCCGCTGCTGATGATAGCCCGCGGTGCATCGTGCGGGCCAGCAACGGTCACCGAGAAGACAGTAGCAGTCAGGAACTCGCAATACAGCACTCCCACCCATCCACGCCTCGTCGCGGACAGCAGCAGCACGGCGACCACCGCGAGGACGTGCCGGCCGCTCCTCCACTTTCTGTAGCCGAAAATGATTCCTTTGTTTCCAATCTCATAAATTGCTTCTTTCAATATCACGTTTCCATATTCTTGAATTAATTGCTCATATATGAATTCATACCGCATGCGAATGATGAATTCGTGGTCCGCAAGCTCTGCATTTATACTGAGATAACTCATCCGGTCAGCCCTTCATGCCTTTCGGGCACTCCGATTGAGGCATTGATCGTCGTTTCTGATGGCCCCTTGGGCCCCTCGGTACCTCAGAGGATGAGAAACACGTGCCCCCTGTGCTCCATCCCGCATGCACCCCTGACTGGGGCCCTCTGACGAAAATGGGGCTCTTCGATTGTCTTACTGTGGAACCCTGCATTGTCACTTCCCAGATCTCCCTTTATTTTCAGAGGGGCCAGTCAACGAGAAAGGTCTGTTCGGCCCGCTGCTGACACAGGTCCTCCGTTAGACATTGTGGCCCCTGACCGACACGAGACCCCTCATTATATCAGGCACCACAATTAATGAAAAAAGGAAAATCCTGAGTCGGGGAAAATGGCAACGAAAAAATTGAAAATGGCTTGGGAAATGTCAAGGCCCAGACCAACACCGTGCGGGCTGTGCGGTATTGGTGCTCCCTGACCAACATAGGGACCCTCATCATCCCAGAGGGCCCTCGATGAACACAAGAGGCCATTTGACTGTCATTTGAGGGCCCGGACCTGTGGGCCGGAGCCCCTGAATAGGATATTCAGCCGGCTTTTCGGGCCATCCGATCGGACCTCTTATTATCGATCTCGAGGGCCCAAAGGGCTCCTCAAAACTCAGAAGAGGCCACGTGGCCTTGTGCGACGGTCTGCACCCCTGGCTCCGTTCGCCTCGATTTTACTCCCTCCTGGACGAAATCTTAGGTACGTCACTACAGGGACCCCTGCTAAATGTTCACTGGAGCCACTGGCCTTCGAATGGAGCCTGGACACACCAGGGTCCCTGTCTCTCTCTCTCCGGAATACGCCACACATGTGAGGACGGTCTTTGCACCTGATCAAGAGCTTTGGTTTGTTTCATACGCTTGCAGGTGGTCAGGATCTTATGGACTCCTATGGACCACTATGAATTTAGCTCCTTAGTAAAATTTTAGAACCTCTGTGGCTACTGGTCCTTGATCAGCGGTTAGATCCAGAAATTCTCTGCCACTATGCTATTTGGGAAGGGAGGGGGGGGGGGGGCATAGCTTGGATATCTTTCCGCTACAGCTTTCAAATTTCCATTTGTTTGATTCGTTCGCCAGTAAGTTAACTTTATCAATTTTTCCTGTTGCAAAAACTGAAGAATGATGCTGTCTGCTTAGAAGAGTCCATTCAACCAATGCAAAATAAGTAGCGAGTTTATTCGATGCGGTCATTTAGTGCCTGATTTCTTCAGTTTATTGGCTTTAAAATACAGACTTGTGTGATCTGGTGGCCTCTAGCTCCTGTATCAGCCAAAGGAGGTAAGAAATTAAATTGAAACACAGAAACGGTGCCCCCTAAACAACTTGGGCCGAGTTCAGTGATCTGCCCTCAAGGGTAGGGTATCGCCGTTACCAGAGGGGCCTTTTGTCAACCCTGTGCCTCCCCTTTACCAAGACCCTGGCTGCGCTCCCGGCTACAGCTTACAAAAGAGGGCCTTATATCCATGTATTCCACACACAATCGGCGATCGACGGACTTTCGCCTACGCATGTCACAAATGCAAAAATAAGTTGATGTAACACGCGCATGCTCGCATATCAGTTGAATCGTACACACCGTACCTACATGCATGACAAGTCTCGTGGCACTTTGCAAGGATGAAACGTAAACTGTTAATGACTTAAACATGTGTCTCTCTCCACGCATATGCTGGTAAATCGTATTGTGACTTGGCTCCGTTGTATGCATGTTCGAGTCTAAAACTTTATAATCGTCTGCTCCGACAGGTGGAGTCCGTAGTAGTTTGGACTGCCTGGCTGAGGTCTCAACAGTACAGTGGTTACGCTGCGTGTCTGGGAAACCAGATGCACAGAGATCGATCCCCTGTGGTCTCCACTCTGTCCGAGATAAAACAGATCGACGCTAGTGTCTGTTCTGTGATCATGGCGGAGGTCACTGGCTGCGATGCACTCGTGAAACATTTCAGGCGAGCTGTTTGTGATTATTTTGTGAACCAAAGTGCAATCATGTGATCATTTGCATCTCTTTAGCGATTACCTGTCTCTTCATTGCTAACGTTCATTTGTTCACTATCCCTGGTCCGCGAGAGAATCAATGACTCCTAAATATGTCACTGGCCGAAATATGAAGATGACAAAGGATTTTTAGACTATCAGAAGGCCCAAGATAACACAGACGGGTCTCGCAAAGAACAATAGCGTTGATGCAGTCATGGGCATTGAGCAAGTCACATGACTCATTGGTAGTTAAGACTCACCTGACTTTTACGTTGAAGTGACAGACACCAACTCAGCCAATGCGGGAGTTACCCAAAGTCCTGTCAATGGAGAGGCCAATCCAATCCTCAGGAATTGCTAAAAACGTAGGCGTGATTATGGGTTATGATCGTTCTATCCCAGGAAATGCACGGGAACAACGTCAGTAGTCACTTTGGCATCCTTAACTCTCCCCTGAATACCGAACACGTGTAACTTGATGTTCTGTTGCACGACTGTTCCCAAGTTGCAGAAACTGTTCAATTTTACAGCTAGGGGACGTGAATGTGTCAATGTGCCGGGTGCTTCACAGCGTTTAGATTGGCTTGGTGCGAAAAAATTTCATCAAAGTCTTCGATATTTGTCCTTCACACCAAGCCTTGATCAACGGAGAAGCCAGAGACATTGTGCTCACAGCTCACTTACACCACCAAAACACCGAGCGCAACATACGTCAACGACTCATTTACATCTTTCTCGCCCAGAGAGCAATTATATAAAGCAAACGTATGTCCACCGAGCAGAGCACGTCGGCATCGAGCGTGTCATCGAGCGTGACACTGCGGACCTGACATTTCCTTCGCTGAAGGCCGACATCCATGACATGATTTAAAGCGCATGAATGTCGATGTATGTGTCGACGAGAGTCTAAGAATGACCCTATTCATGACCTGGCAAAGTGCTATATACAACATGTTACAATCATAGACTTTTCTATGGCTTTGGAAAATCTATGACTTTTCCACATTATGTGGATATTCTATAATACGTTCCATCAATGTCGCATGATTGTTCTATCACGATGGAATATCGCTACCCATTGTTAGCTGACTTAATACCGAATGACTACGCGGTTATGTGCACCAACTTTAAGCGGGCTCCGCCACTACCACGCCTGCTATGCATCATTTTGAGCTCAGAGTTCTTATGTTGACAGTTATTGACCTTCAACATGCCAGGAGATACTGGTTAAACGACGTTATAGAGGAAACTCTACTTAAACTGTGAATACTCGACGTCGCAGGCTGTGTGTGTGATCACGTGTTCGTAATCTGTCCTTATAGTCCCTCATCACCACAAGCGGAGCCTGAAATGTCGAGTTTTGACAATGTAACAAAGGTTTGCTCTATAACGTCGTTTAACCAGCGCCTCCTGGTATATTTAAGGTGGTTAATTGCCAGGAAAAGAACTTTGAGCTCACAAGGCCAAAAAGGCTATCAGGCATTCGTCAATCTATCGATCACATCAGTAAACTGGAAACATTAGACATTAAGAATAAAAAGATAGGAGGGTCATTGCAGCTCAGCCCCCTAATCCATGAGGATTCGAGTAGACGACCGTGCTGGGTTAATATATTTATTTTCATAAATTGGTCGCATTACAAAACCACATCGCTATCACAGCACTGCGTCAAAGATCATTTGCATGCCCACGAGGCACATCCTAGTGTGAGTCGTATTCCCAATGAAGGGTCATGCGTTCTACGATGAAACAGTTAATACAGTGCATGTAAAAACTAAATTTTGGTAACTTATCGTGTACGTAGCAAAGCTTGAAGTTTAGTGTTAATGTACCCATGTCGCTTCATTGTTTGACGACAAACAACAGGCGTGTCAGTTAGGAAACACGCCTGACTCACAAACACATACATTAATACGTGCGCAAGTACAAAGCACAGGTGTAAGTTAACCACGACTAATGAAGTACCGATGCTCGGCGCATGGTTCAGTCCTTTATAGAAGATATATTAGGTGCAGGTGTTATTTGTGAGCTATCTCCATGGCTTAGCATGCCCTATTACGCGGTCCAACCGTGTCGGTACGCTGCCTTATCATGGTATCGATCACTACCTGGGCATCCGTACCTCCCACGTCTTTGTCTTTATCCTACCAAATTACTGGTTGATTAATAACGTGGACCATGACCTGCCACTCAGACAGCAAACGTGATGTCCGAGAGCGGCGGACAAGCGTCATCACCGCTGCAACACACCGCAGTTTAACGATCCTAAGCTACTAGCTGCGTGGGCGCTCTCCCAAGCTGCCTTGTCGCACAACATCAGCAGGTCAGAGCGGAGCTCCTCCCGCATCAGGTCGCCAGGTCAGGACGCGGTCAAACCCGGGCAGGTCACGATATCAGGTACAGTAGACCGCTGAGCCACTGAAGACGCTCTTGGACCGGAACCCAGAACTTATCCATGAAACTGCCGCCTTAGAAGCGCTCAAAATCTGCCTTCGTCAGCTGCTTGACCCGGGCGTTGTTATTCGCGGTCTTCTTCCGTTTCTCACCTGCAAAATTGAGAAAGTCTTGGTCTTAGTCGGGTGCAAACATTTGGGCACCCTCTAAAGGTGCAACACGTTATAAGCAACATCATTCTGCTCGTAAGGCGCGCAACCGTGCGCCATGCAAGATGTAATGGCCTGGTCCATATTGACTCAGTATATCGCTTATACTCCAGCTGTCTCTCCTGCATTGCACTGTCGGCCGGTGAGGAATGGAAATTCCACCTCATCGCTGGAAACTGCTAAGACGAATAAGCATTTGTTTACCAAATAACTTCACGCTACACCGCACGCCCGTGATATTAGGATTGAATACGCTATTGAAGAGTGTTTGGATGTGCCCGGCACTTAATCCACAAATGAAGTGGATTCATAAATATTTAGGATCCATAGCAGCGGTGCAAGTTCACCAACTAAGTGGCTTTTTGAAGTGACAGCTGTGTGCCATGTGGTGTACCTAACAGGCACGCGTGGAAACCTATGGAACATTCCTGTAAGGTCTTGATAACCATCTGTCCCCTCCCGCCGACCTTTGTTTTCCGGGGTCCGGTAATTGGCTTTTGTTTTTCGTCAGATGGGGAAAGCATGCGTATGTATCGGCACCATCCATCTTCACAGTTGTGCCCACGTTATGAGTAAGGGTCACGGTCGCATCGTATCATGTCACTGCACTGGGATAAGCTAGCGGTGGTGCGTTATCACAGGGTTTGCTAGTGGGCTATCGCCGTAACGCAATTGCAAGTACATCATTTAAAAGGAGTTTCCCACCTTTGGGGCATATTTCGAAAACATTCTCTAGTGAAACTTCGGGACCAGTTTCGTCTGAGAACAGCACTGGATAGTGCCACTGCAGCACCATCGAGACATAACAAAGGAAGACATAATATTTTCGTGTCCAACGCATTGTAACAACACTGCGCTTCTACCCTGAAGTCGCGATCGCCGTCGTCATGACAACCGCCGAGGCACATGTACTGGCGCGAATAAAAGGACGTTTTTGATTACCCCAGCGGGGCGACGACGGCTTGTTACCGAGGACCGTATTGGTTCAAGTTTGAGCCAGTGCGTTACTATGGACCATGTGATACTCCCATTCCCAAAGTCAAAGTGCGCATCAAAAAGAGCCACTGTGGTAAAATTCATAGGGGATAAATCAGAGCCATAGTGTAACGTCTGGTTAAACTCGCGGTGTAAAATCCTCGTGTTCGCCTACCTTTTTGTCCAAACAGAATGCTTAAGCTTTCGTAACATTTACTACACGAGCATTTTGACACATTAGTGTATTGTAAACATTACAGAATACACTCGTCGGAAAAGCGGGGCAAATGCAATGCGCTACTTTTATGGTGGTTAGCAGGAAGTTCAATGAAATTTCTCCCACAAGAGAGGCTACTTCTAATCAAAATTGTGAGCCAACCAGAAAGATCTCGAGAAAACTGGCATTACTGATCAAATCGTACGCGTGTGATCTATAAATAAGTACAAAATACAAAAAGGTGAAGTATGCCCTTCAAAAAATGGTGCCCTTTGCCAGTTCCCTTATGTTTTTGGCAGGCGGTAAAGCTAATCCCTGAATCATGGCGTCTGGCGCTTTAGCCCAGGTATGTCATCCGCCCGCAGCTCAGTTGGTAGTGTTCGACACCAAACCTATCACGCTAAGATGACAGACTAAGCGGCTTCGGATCCCAGAGGTAATCCTCTACATTTAATGCGCCAAGAACGGGCAGCTGACAATTAGATGTAACGGCTTCAGGCCGGCGGGGGGGGGGGGGGGAGGGGATCACGTCATGGTCATAAGGGGCCGATCATGCTGGCACGGGGCTATCACGTCATGGCATAATTTGTCACGGACGTATTATTTTTACTGTTTGGCACCAGACAGTGCAAACAAACGTTCCTTACAACTCGCTATGATGTGATGGAGTGTGGAGTTAGTGTCTCTACAGAAAGCTATGGTTACCAAGGTCGATGATCCTCAAGTCTTCCTAAGTGGGAGTGCCACCTTTCATCTCGATAACTTACTGTACGTTATGGTGGTTCGTTAGTGCCTGCCCCCATCGAAGTCAGTTGCCAGCATTTCCGCTGGGTGAATGCTTTTCCTTCCAGCCCATTCCGGGTTTAAGGGACAAAGTGATAATTTCGGAGAACTATAGAGTGAATAGGAAAAAAAGAAATAAGAGAAAAGATACGACAGATAGAGAAAATCGATGCTGATCAATAGATGAGTAAGATTTACAGGACTGAATACGTGAGCTAGCTATAGACCGGCATAAGTCATTTGACCGGCACGACTGATTCCTAAACACTTGTCATCCTATCAGCCGAGCTCGCCGATATCAAAGCAAACCGGTAAACAACTTTCAAAAGTAATATTTTATGGTCATTCTTCAAAACTGAAAATGCATGAGCCCATTTAGAGGGTACAAAAGCAGAATGATGGAAGAAAGCAAAAACGGATACTCAGGTGAGCTTATGCGAAATAGACGTAATAGTGCTCTGCTTTGTTATCGAAATGCAGTGCTAGCTAACGATATGGCATGGGGGGAGCAATGGCGTTTATTATGGTGGAGAAAAGGAAAGGCTAAGTAGTTTGTAGATAACTGAGTTGTCCATAATGTTACCATTCCCTTCTTTTCGTTGAATTCATCTCAAAAGCGCAGATTCCCTTTCGAAATCACTATTTTCGCCGAATGCTTCCATCGGCACCTCAACCACTAACATTTTGTTTTCATGATGCTTTCACCGCTTTGATCTACTCGTTTCTCCAAAATGTTTGTTGAATAGATTTTGGAACCGAATCGTTTTTGTCGAGCTTTGCATTGATTACCACGCACGCGCTAATAGTTGAACTGCTTGAGGTGTTGGCCACGATTATGGAGATTGCGTCTAAAGATCCCAGCGCTAGCGGCGTGGGCCACAGGACACAACCCATTGCGGAGAATATAACACCTCTTGTACTCTTCACTCATGTTTAGATTCGACGCGTCCGATTTAGTCAGTCCTACGAGTTTTTTCAGACTCTTTGGGCATGGCTAGGTGCACCCGATTTGAATGTGTCCTTTCTATATGAGAAATATCTTAGAAGTCCCCGCTCAGTAATATGAGAGCAATGCTTTGCATTTCCTATGGTTTTCACGGTAAAATGTTTACGGCACGAAACCATTATCGTGTGAATTCAACGAAACATCATACTGGGGTTTTATATCTTTATGAAGTTCTAAGAAACGTCCCTTTCGAAGAGCGCTTTGACTTTTGATAAAACAAGCGATTCTCGTCAAAAACCTAACGCCGTCCGCTGCGCCAATTATGAATGTTGTTTCGTACTGACGTCATTCATGCTTCTCTATCATGCCAATTTTGAACAGGACTGAAATTAGATTCCCACACACAGTCGCAGGGACTGCAATGAGTATCTTGCTTTAATGTCTTCTAGGCACGAAACTCATTACAGAGAGTAAACGTGAGACCACCAGCAACGAAAAATGTTGTGCTGTGCCAAAACGTCAACAGCGTAGCTTGGTCTCGAAAATGATTGAAGTTCACTCATTTAAAAGCATATTTTTGGTGGTGAAATCGCACTCCTCGTGTTATTATGAGACTTAACAGGTCTTGGGGCTTCACCAAGGTATGTTTTTGAAATAGTGCCCCGGAGGCGATACACCCCTTAAAAGATAACGACATAATTTTGCACACGAGAGCATTTCTACACGCAAGATTCATGGGAAAACATGTGTGCCGGTCAATAAAAATGGCATACAACCATCAGTTTGACAAACGTTCATAATTTAGAGTGGATGCATCGATCAATGCACATGACACCTTTTGTTGCTGTTAGGCTACACTCTCACCTGCGGTGATAAGCTCCGATGGCTTGCTATTTTTAGAGTAGTACTTGGATCCTTTAGCGTCGTGAACGCCGAAGCCGACGCCAACAGGTGTACTCCAGGTCCTCCAGAGGAATCACCGGTTGACGATACAGGGCACCAGATCTGGCTGGTCAGAAAAGCATCACGTGATACTATGCCGCAAGAAAGTGGAGCTACAAATTAACAGTATTTGGGCCAGCGAGATACAGCTTGGATCCTTTTCTGCCTTTCTTCGGTCTTCCGCTGCAGATTTTGAACCTTTTTGGCAGCAAAGTCAAATGCTCAGCATCTCCAAACAACAAACACAAGCATCATGTCGTACACCACTTTCCAGTCATTTAAGATCATGCTGAAATCAGGCTATGGGATCCATCAGTGCAAAAATATGCTGCAAGACGCCAGATGCGGTGGAAAAATGTGCGTTAGATACCGTTCGATGGCTAGCATATCCATTCCCTACAGATGGAGGGAATTATGTCATATATGGGCACATCAGATCCGTTATAGCTAGGCAACCAGACGTCAACCTGGTGTTGTGTGAACTGCTAAGTCCCTTTGGAGGACCTGCGTACAACCGCATCTACCAAACACCAAACCCGACATAAGTTTGATCGCAAGTCAGGTGGGCTTTTGATTAGGAATATGCGTGCAATGACTTTGCATCAGTTGTAAAACTGTTTTGCGTATCCTTGCAAGATACCAACTGTCACCGCATGATGACTTTTCATTGCCAAGAGGTAGACTGTAGCATCACCGCGTGATGATGACTATATCGTAATAACCGTTTCCTAAGCTCATCAGAATGTTTATGCTTGGCTCAGCATGTGATGTCGCTGCTATGTGCCCATGCCACATCCTAGGAAGCGTCGTTCACCGTGCTTTGCACTTCAAGGCTGTCGAACGCATTTACGACAAATCGAATCCGTTCAGTCCGTCTCCAAGATACACCAGGACGAGGACATTCCGCGCCGGTAGTGTTAAGTAATGGAACACGCCAACAAGTGCCGGGTTAGCGTAAACACCCACCGGGATATTCACTTTAAATGACACGTCAGTCACCAAGGATCACCATCGCCTCACCCAGCGATGACCATGCTGTTCTCTAATAGTGAGTCACCATGAGCAAGAATGGACATCCTTGTAGGGGCAGGGCGGGATTTTTCTGTCGGGACTTGTCATGCCGCCTTCGATACCGCCACGAACGCGTGCAGATGTCGCACAGACCGCAGGTTTTGGGCACAGTCTGCCAGTGAGGAGTCGATACAGCCGCTGACAGCATGGGGGATAAGGTAATATGATCGTGGAGTTATTTTTCAAGACGTGATGGTGCAAAAACACGGGCGAGTTAGTAGCACACTTTCCCTGCTTGCTAAGTTTTAGAGCGGAATATTGTTATTCTAAGACGTGCGAAACTGACACAGGGAAACACGCAAGCGACTGAAGCTAATTCAATGCAAAACGTCTCACTTAATCACCTATCTCCAAAATGAAATCACGTAATAACAGACCTAAAGGCAACAGCCCGCTAGAATCAGCGGCTATTCACACACCAGCGTCCAAAAAAATAAATCAAGGCGCGACCGGGAGTGAATCCGAGCCAAACAGCTGTGAGCCAAGCGCGCGCGAATCCAAGCCAAACAGCTGTGAGCCAAGCGCGCGCCCACTCACCCAGCCTGTAGACGTGGTCATCCTTGGAGTACATGGACGGAACCGCCAGGGCGGTCGTCACCACACACAGTAGCACCAACAAGCGCATCTTGCCGCCGGAGCTGGTCACGGCCGGAGCAGTCGGTGGCGGCGCGCGCTGTCTGCTGGTGCTTGCCTCCTGCGCCGCTGCCTCGCTGCAGTCCCCGCCGCCCGGTCGCACGAGGTGAAACCGCCGTCTGCCGGCGCCCGCGCGAGGTGAAAGTGACGTGTGCAGCGCTGCGGTGTGGGCGGCCGAGGTCACGCGGCGCGGACACACCACACGTGCGCCGGCAGCGCTCCGTACCACCGAAACCGAGCCCGCCGACCTCCGGGATGACCCGACGTTTTGAGACTGTCATTAAAACTCCCGTGACTGCTGTCGTTACCCGCATAACGTCTTCTTGTTTTAACGGCTGCTGCACAATGTGAATACCGCGCTGCAGCAGAGGATCTCTGCAGCAATGACCTTGGGCCCGCTCGGTCACGGTTGTGGATACTCGAGCTCCGTGGGCGCATACCGCGCTGTTGTTTCGCCCGGCGCCCCGTCCCTCACCTGCCGCCGCCTGCGCACGCGTCGCGTGCTCACGATCGAGAGAGACCCAGACGGACGGCGTCCTTCAGCCGCTGAGGTTTTTGGAGCGCGGTCGCCACGGGACGGGCTAGTCTTAACCGCGCCGGCCGCGAACGGCGGCCCGGCGGCGGGCGGACCGGCTCCGGCCGCTGCCGTGACGTGAGGTCGCACGGAGGCGCGGGCACCGCTGCAACGGCTGGGGCCTGGAACCCTACACCGTTGGGTCACGCGGTCCTCTGGATCGCTTATAACATTTGAGGCGCAGCGAAGGCAGGTCGAGCCTGACGAACCCATGGCCGTGATCTTGGTCTGCGCGTGGGCTGCTGCGCCGCTGTGGGCGGCCCCGACTCGCCCACAATGACCCCGGAGCAGGGCCGAGCGTGCAGCCTGCAGCCAGTGAGGCACCGGTTCCGCATGCGATGGCCCATCTGGCCGTGCCAATGAACTCAGCGCTGACATTTCGAGTGATAGCAGGAGCACCACATAAACCAGTATGCCGTGCTCCTATGGAGAGCTTTCTCATGCGAAGTTCGCGAGCTGAGTGGACTAAGACTCAGCACCGCTACGTTGGCTGACGTTTGATCGCAGGTATAAGTCTCTGGATGAGATGCATTTTATGTTCAATTTGAAGAAACTGAGCCGATCATAACACATTGGCCTTATTTGCTTGGCTTCTTTAGACTTTTGACATGATATCAAGTCTTGCATGAACGAAAAATCTGAATTTTCCAGCGAAGCTTTTTACTCACATGCGCGTACTGAATAAATAACAAAAATATAGCCATCTATCCGAGGTCCAAGGCTGCGCTTCCTTCAAACCCGCGCGAAAACCATCCAACGGTGCAACAGCCGGTGTGGCGTCAGTAAGCGGAAAGCCAAGGCGGGCGTTCGCTAACCGGTGATAGGTTCCGTTGCGCATAACGCGCTGCGTGCCTTGGTTGAGTGAATACTGTAGATTTACATTTACTCGGTTTGAAGCTGCAGACAGAAGTGGAGAATGCTGGAAAGTTTGGTATGGCAAAGCCGCCAGAACAGGCATTATTCCGAATCGCAAAGTCACAAGATAATAGAAATTCCAGTACTGATTGGTGTAAAGGCTGCCGCGCCTGCCATGAAGCATTCCCAATTATTGCAAAAGTGAAACATTCCTTCGGGCGGCAGATGAGTGTTTTGTTTTTTGTTGATATAAAAATAAAAGTATCCAGGGGTTTTACCGAACACATCAATTAAGCAATATGTTTTTCAACTTGAATATTTGCCAATCAACACGGTTGCTCAATGTTTCGGAAAACATTCACTTTTTTCTCGTAAGCTAGCGAAAAAACACTTTTCAGAAGGGTTTAAAGCCGGCGCTGGAAAGCTTAGAATATTCTCAATCCACTTATAGTTAAGCTGCTTGACAAACGTATTTTGTGCCTGGTTGTAACAAGAAGGTCCTTGCAAGTTGTGTACGCCAATGATTTTTCACCAGGGTAAGCCCATTTGGAAAGTAGGGGATGCAGTTCTTGATAATAATTTATGACGCTCCCGAAATGCAGAAAGTCTTTTTGAAATGGAGAGTGAGTGATAGCTCTAGGGTTGATATCAGGATCTTGCCATTGGTGGGGGAACAGAAGTCAAAATTTTTCACTGAAACTACGTAAGTTGTTCAGTGCATTAGCGAGGAACATTATTCACATAGATAAGACAGCAATATTAGCCTTCCTCGAAGAAATTCCTCGGAGAAAAGCCAGGAGAATGGAGATGTAGTTGGATTGATATTTCGGCAACATGTCTTCATCAAAGCAATAGCAGAAGTGAATTCCTCTTGTGTTCTGTCCGACGAATATAAGAGGAATATTATAGTTAACTCGTTATAGCTAAGTATAGGCGGTCTTTTTCACTGAGAACCTAAGTCAGCGCGCCGCAGGGGCAAAGCTTGTTACCTGTCGTAAATCATCATCACATGTACATAAAATATTACAACCTTGCATTGCAACGGCGGCACTTGTAATGTAACATGATGCATGTCACAAATTGCATGCCTTAAGGGCACGTGCCCCCGCAAACACTACGTGTGTACACCCATGGACGTGTTCTTTGATTGAATGAGTTTTGAGCAATGCACCTCGTACACACATGGCTAATTTTACTAGCCATGTGTGTGAAGTAAAATGATCATTAAAATAGTGTTTAGGCAGTAAAACTTGTCCCGCCACAACTGTACAAGTCACAGCAATCTGGAACAGATATTTGCGACATGTTTGCCATAGCTGTGGCCGAATTACCGCACCCCTCGTGCACAATGCTATTCTGTAGCGTTTGGATAACGGTTGTGCGTTAATAAAACACACGTTTGTGCGACTCGAGGCTCGCATGCCGAATAAGGCATGTGAGGCTCTGAAATGAGCACGTATTCACCAGCTCACCGCAATCCAAACGGAACCCACGCGTTTCAGCGCTCGTGTGGGTTGTACTACACTGCTCTCCCCAAGTTTCATTTGTGAGCTGGCTGGCTGCAGCGTCTGCTATGCAGAAATCGGTGCACAAATATGATACCTATGGCAAACCCCATTGAGAATAGTGTAAAACTAGCTCCGAATAAAAAATAATTTGAGAGAGAGTGAGAATTTGGGAGATAGCTGGCGGTGCGAGAGCCAGAACGAGGTTGAACCTGACCAAGCTCACAACTGCAAACTGGAGGAGCTGTGCATCGCATACCTTCCCACTTGGTAGTGTCGAAAAATTGTTTTTGGGCAAGAGGTGGACACCAGTGTCTTCCAGCAAGCTGGGGAGTTGCCCATCACAGAACTCATGAGGTCCGTGATGGGCAGCTTGATGGGCTAGGTGATGCACTACCAAGAGATACATTCTGCAGCTGGTGCTCCAGCTGAGGGTGCTGGATTCCAGATATGTGAGGTTCGTTCTTCTCATGGAGCTGACAGGAAAGGGGTATCACTGCGGATGGCGGGAGAAAACTGGATGAGAATCAAACACAGGATGGAGGCAAGCTTAAACTGAAGGGGAAGGTGGTGGCCAGGAGGGATTTCCAACAATGACAGAAGCTTGAAGTGATCGGTTCTGGTTACCATCTGACTACGACCTTGTCCAGAATTACAGAGTTTTCTATCCACAATTTATCCTCATCCAACTTTTCTCACCATCCTTCCCAACCTCCATACCAGCTCCATGACAGGGCTGCTTCTCACATCCCTGAGGCCCAGCATATGCCGCCTGAACACATGCATGGACTGATGCTTCTCTGAGTGGTGAGGTCCGCAATGGGTAGCTTCCTGCATGCTGTGAAGCTATGTCAGGCTGAAGCACGCACTGCCTCTCATGCCGCCAGCCATCTTTAAACATTTTTACTCGTACTTCAAAGCTTATTTTGCACTTTTCATAAAAAGGCTGCATGGATTTTTGAAGGTAGCCACAGCCCGAATCGAACATTGGGGGGGGGGGGGGGGGGATGGAACAACCTGTTAAATCACAAGACCACATGAGCTCTAGTTGGGTTGCAGTGGCAGTGAGAGGTAGAATATGTGCTCATTTATTAGCCAGAAATGTCTGCTTCGATTTGTAAACCTCGGAGCACACCTACAGTCTTGCGTTCTAGTGTTATTTTGATGATGGATTTTCCATGCGTATGGTTAATCGATCCTACATGTATTACTCAAAACGCACTTAACCGAAACACGCGATACTACGCACGCCACGTCCCAAAAAGACGTTCTGCTGCTCAAGGGCACTACAAAGTTAGATCACGAAATGTTGGCCAAATGTTGGCCATTCCCTGTTGGCCAAACAAGCCGAACCAGGTGAATGGCCCCTGGAGGACGCAATAATTGTCTGAACGTTTGTATTAACACGAGACATAAAATGCCATTTTTGCCAAACAATTGACATATAATAAAGCAATGCCTAAGATCAAATTGAAAAGCATATGAACCGATTAATTATATTTGTGATTTTTTTGTTGCTTTGACATTTATTAAAAATGAAAAAAAATTCAGCTCCCGCAAGATTTAGGCATCTCTTTTTCCACCACAACCTACCCCCATAAATGACAGCGGTTTAGTTAGTTTGAAGCAGGGAGCAGCTGTGCCAGCGGTGCACAACGTGTCGTGAAATGGCATCGATAGTATATGTTATCTGAAACGTCCAAGGACTCGACTAAAACAATACCACCGACAATTTTCTTGATGGTTTCAGCTGCCCAACAACGTTAACACGGGTGGTGGGTCGCTAGCAGGCAAGGGGCTGTAATCAAACCTTTGACTATTTTTGCCCTGATGAACGCTCTGATGCCAGCATTTTGTATGGCATATTTGTACATGACATTGTAAACATGCTCTTATTTGCTGTTGTTGGATTTAAAAATTCCCATGGTGTTGTGATGGGATTTCGTCAAGAAAGTCCCGTGTGATGATTATGCTAGGTGTCACCAACGGCGTCGGAAACTTAAGACATGTTGTGCTTTCATTACGTTGACACTTTGATCGCATGGGGCTATTGCGGTTTGCACTCCATCAGCACCACGTTTAGTCTGGCAGCAGACAAAAACGGGAAAACATAATATAGATTAATCTCTGGATACTCCCCAAAAGGGAGGTC